AAGGGAATAGGGTCAACGACGGAGCGAATTTCGGTCGATTCCTGCTGAATCGGCTGAAATTTGGTGCGATGCGTTAATAGCATGGTTCTGTGAGTTTCACACCATACTGCACAATGCACCCACTGTGTGTTACCAGTGTTGGAGGTGTGTTGCAGTGCGCTTAAAAAAAATAGACACTAGCATACACTACTTTTATTAATCGCAACGCGTTACTGCAATAACGCGCATTGTGGTGCGATCACATTTCATTTGTAAGATACCTCCCACCCGCAATGCAATTAATCACACTGCAATGTGCGGTACCACAATACCGTGTGTTGCGGTGTGATTAAAACAGTAGTGCATACAAAACTTAATCGCAGCGCATGGTTTTGCGGTACTGCACATTGTGGTGCGATCTATCACATTGCGGGTGGTAGTATGGTTGTCACCTGTCCGGGATTCACCTGGACAGTCTTCAATGAAAATAGTCTCAACTGTGATATTTACATATGAATAAGCCATGACTCATTCTCCCAAAAAATGTCTGCTACAGTGTTCGGGTTTCGCTTGAAGAAAAAGTGGCAACCCTAGGAGGGAGGTTCATTTTGAATGCCATTCGAATGATGTTCAATCACACCACAATGCATTGTAACGCAATACATGCATTGCGGTGAGATTTAAAAAAACTACAATATGCACTACTTTAATCACAGTGCACAGTATTGCGGGCGGGAGGTGGGTGTGTTTGGGGTGCCATTAGGGTCGCCACCTGTCCAGGATTCACCTGGACAGTCCGGGTTTTGAACGCTGTGTCCGGGTTTCATGGCAGCAGAAACCCGAACACATGATGTCAGGCAGACAGGGGCAACCAAAATTAAGATAGGGGCTACTGGCCCCCCACTGGAAATAGTCTCAACTGTGATATTTACATATGAATAAGCTGCAACTCATCCTCCCCCAAAAAATTTCCGCGTGTCGCTAGAGTGTTTGGGTTTCGCTGAAAGAAAAGGTGGCAACCCTAGAGGCTGCTGCCCGTCTATAGGAGATGGCAGAGACTGCAGACATGGCACAAGTGTTGTTGTTGGGGACTGCAGACATGGCACAAGTGTTGTTTATGGTTGCCACCTGTCCAGGATTCACCCGGACAGTCCAGGTTTTGAACGCTGTGTCCGGGTTTCATGGCAGCAGAAACTCGGACACAAGATGTCAGGCAGACAGGGGCAACCAAAATTAAGATAGGGGCTACTGGCCCCCCACTGGAAATAGTCTCAAGTGTGATATTTACATATTAATGGGCGGCGCTATTTACATATGAATACGCCGCGACTCATTCTCCCAAAAATATGTCCTCTCGTCGCAAGAGTGTTCGGGTTTCGCTTGAAGAAAAGGTGGCAACCCTAGGTGCCATTCTAATGAATGCCAACGCAACCACCTCCTGTGCTGTTAACGCACGCTAGGTGCATTGTGCGCTACGGTGCGTTAATCGCACGGTTACATCCGACCAGTGCGAATGGGCCCTGAGTGAGGGGAAGTCTTTGTAACGGAGATAGATAGTTGTAAGCCTTCCCCAGAGATTAGTGACATAGTAAATAAACGTTCTGGAGGATCGGCATTTCTGAAAACCTGTAAAAAAAACATTTCAATACAATAAAATTTGCTTGCGTTATTAGAGACATGGAATTTATCAAAACTGGAGCAGACAGAATCTGCAGCAGTTGCCCATGGCAACCAATCAGCTTCTCTCTTCAGTTTGTTCAGTTAAAATTTAGCAATGACAGAGCGAAGCTGATTGGTTGCCATGGACAGCTGCTCCAGAATTATTATTATAATACAAGATTGATATAGCGCCAACAGCTTGTGTGCTCTTTGCAATATAAGGAGGACATTACAGTTACAATACAAATCAAAACAAAATGATTAGAAGGGCCTTGCACAGGAAAGCTTACCATCTAAAGGGGGGATGGGGGGAATCTGCCTGCTGCAGTTTTGATAAATTCCCCTCACAGTTTTTTGGGGAGTGGAGTTCAGTAAAAGTACATTGGAGGTGTTGTCAACAGCAGTCAATTAAGTTCTCCAAGCTGACCTGTCCTAATTTTCTTGAAGCCTACATGTAACGATGACGCTATGGCTTCAGGCCTTTCTGAATCAGTGACATGAAGCGAATAGAGGGATAAGGAATTCTCAATGTAATTTGGCGGCATGCTTTTTCTGGGTTTATGAAATATTAAAGTCACACAGACAAGCAACTGGAATGTTCAGAAGGGAGCCCAGGAATGAAAGGCCACATTTTTCTGCCATGACAGGTGAATTGTGGGCGTCATTCAACTCAGAAGACTGAGGACACCTAGTGGCAGAAATGACTTACTACACAGTACAGCAATGTAGAGGAGGGAAGTAACGCAAACAGAGCTGCTGGGCGACTATTTCATTAGAATTTTTGCCTGTTGTACATGTTGCTCTCCCAATGAGCGTTTACAGCAGGGGTAGAAAAACTCCATACCTCCAGCTGTGGTGCAACTACAAATCCCATGAAACATTAAATGACTGACAGCCACCAGAGACAAATGCATGATGGAATTTGTAGGTTCACCACAGCTGTAGGCCCAGAGTTTGCCTGGCCCTGGTTTTCAGGTTAAAATGTATGTGACTTATGCCTGATGATTAATGTCACAGGACAGAGGTGGAGAGTAAGGCCTCATTCACACTGCCGCGCATATACGCGTTTATTGTACCATATGCAGCATATGCACATAAATGGCTCCATACACATAGCTGCGCATGGAGCCGTATATTTGCGTAGCGTAAAAATGCGCAAAAACATAATAGAACCGAGATGCGTACAGGCAGCGCATTTCACACGCGTATGCGCATGTACGCGTGTTTTCGCGCGTGCACGTACAGTTCATTAAAATTTCTATTACAAATTATGCATTCTGGGATTGCATATAGTGCACGCATATACGCACGTACATACGCGCATGTACGCATATATACAATTCTGCTCTTGCGTTGTGTGTGAATGAGGCCTATAGGGGAAGAGGGCAATAGGTTCCACCAGCACAGGTTTTCTAATCTATATTAACAGCAAGTTTACCTGCAAGTACCCATAGACATAAGATCCTCCTATACAGCTGAAAGGGGCCACATTGGACAACTATTACGAGGGAGAATCAAAAAGTAAAGGCAAAATACATTTAACGGCTTTAATAGAACTAACTGTGAGCACTTGAACATATCACTTTTCCACATAGTCCCCATGCATGAAGCTGCACTTGTTGTAGAAGAGGTAATCATATGTCCACTTATGTCCGACTGCCCATAGACATAACACAGGTCCGGTTAGCTTAGTTTTTTCATCCATCGCAAGATGGAAGAAGAAACTGAACAGACAACGATGTCAGAAGAATAACATTGGTTCCATACTGCTCCGATCAGCAAGAATCCCCTGCTGATCAGAATGGACGGCGGCCATGTCAAAGGGGTCTAAGTGTGGCCCACTATACAATGAAAACATTAAAAGATTTACCATTACTGGCCAAAATTGTGCCACATAGAGGTTAACTAGAAAGTGGAAACAAGGGCTTCAGAATGTCAGGGTAAATGTTCTCCCACATACAGTTTTTCTGCTATACCAAAAATCTCCACAGATTATTAAATACCACCAAAAGTAAACTTTATCTCTATAAAATGAATTTAGGTAAAGTGATGCATGACAGAGGAATTGTCAGTCAAACTATCCCAACACTGAAACATGGCCTGGTAATGAAGAGGTGGTACTGAACTGGTTTAAGTGGACCTTCACCCATAGAATGCACATTCTCCCACATCCCTCTTCTTCCTTCTTCTTCCTTCTTCTGAAATAGGCTATGCATGCATTGAATGTCAGCCCCGTTTTGATGAAGCACCCTTCTCTCCAGCATCCCTCAATCAGCTGGTCGGAAAGTTCTCAATCAGCTGCAAGCTCGTTTCGGGTATTTTGACAGTGGCTGTCTAGAAACAGCGGGGGATTCACCAATCACTGCTCATAATCCTTGATGGAGGAATCTCTTCTATTTGTTTGTTCTTCCTGCATGTTGAATAAAAAAAAATAGAACTGTGTGTACCCAACTTTACACATTTGCAGACTTTATTTATTAGTAAATAAGTTTTTTTTTGTCCTGTGTAGAGCCCCCGCTACTTCCAGAATCTCCTCAATTCGAGGATGACAATAACCCACTTGCTGCCTCCTGGGATGTCCACATCTCACATCCCAGGACATAGAGGGATGGAGTATCGTGCTATTTCAACGCTGCACAGGGACACTGAGGTCTCTGGAACATGGCAGAGCTTGTGGCGTGTTGCGCGGGAACACGCTGCAGGTCTCTTTTGGGTTTTTGGGCATGTCCGCTCACGTGTGAGATTCCCTCACATGTGCAGACACACTGCAAGCCCTGCCAGGTCACATAGACCACAGAGACCTGTGGCAGGTCTGTGCAAGTGTGGGAAGGTAACCAAGAAAAGCACGTTCAGCATAGTCGCACAGAAGTCGGCCATCGCTTAGGGAATTATAGACAGAAGACAATGCTGGACTCCATTGGCTAATATTTTTTTTATTATCAGTTATCATAAAAATATGATATACATTATTTTTAAATAATATATAAATTATTATAAAATAATATATAAAATTATTATAAAATAATATATAAATTATGATAAAAAATATAAAATATGACAAGAATGATGAATTATATTTTAATTAGGTAGGGCTGCGGGAATAATAGGTGGAATACAACTGGTCACTATAGCGTAGACAGCACAATTCTCAACAAGAATGTCTCACAAAAAGTAGCACGTTATGGAATCGAGCACAACAAAAAATGGCGGCCACGTACTCTAGGAATTCCCTACGCCTTAAGTGACGTCATTACGCAGGCGGCGTCTCGACGTGTTGCGAACACTACAAACCCCAATACCAGCAGCGATCAGAAGGCGGGCCTTATGCTTCCAACCACCAATGAGCGGGCTGGATGTGATGGGCGAGGCTGTTGGTTGGCGGAGGGTGGATGAGGTTAGCGGGCGGTTGAGAACACAGGAAGAGGATTCCTGTCCGTGTAGAGTGGAGGCGGCGGTGGTTGTGAGGAGTCTATAGGGGTAACATTGTGCTCCGTTAATGTTGGTGTCACCATTCCGTATCTGTCTTGTGATTTCCTCATCTTCTCGGGTGTGATTATTCTGGTATCCGTGCGCTTTATGTTTATGTCTTGTGTCCTGTTGGTTGCCTATAGAGTGACCACAAATTTCAGCATGGATATAAACAATGGGGGGGAGGTTACAATCCTGTCCAGCAATACTAATCTGTCGAGCTGGGGGAGCACAAATTGTAATATAGATCAACTTTTGTATATTAGGGCTCATTCACATTGCTGTACAATACGCTGCGTTCAGATCTGCACGGCGTACACATTTATCTGGATGCATCAGCCTTGCATGGGGCCCATTCACACACGTTTGTTTTGGTCCGCAGTGATTAACTAGCAAACCGCTAAAAATTTGCGTCTGCGGTCTGATTTTGACCGTAATTTGCACAGTATATATGTACGGGCTCCTGCACACGGATGTCATAAATTATTGATATCTACATGGGACTTAACTGTCAGAAAGATCCTGCGTGAAATGTAATGGTCTGTAAAGTGCTTTTCGGGGGACCCATAAATGTCCGCAAAGTGGTCACATCTGTAAAAATCCTTCTTCCATTCGGTTAGCTTGGTTTTTGTTATTGGCGCAGATGCATTTTTACGCATGCAGAATTTTCTATGTCAATTTTACGCACTGCGGGATTACTGAACACGACGCAGCTTTGTGTATTCAATTAAGTAAACAACTATGCTGTAAGGATCTAAACGTGGAATGTTTTGTGCCCCAGTGCATGAGCCCTGAATCTGTGTGTAAACGTTTACATGTGTACCACACAAATGGTTGTCATCGCCTAGTGAAGTGGAAAATGTAAACATAAACCATGTGTCGGCAGCAGCACAGGTGCAGAACCTCAGCCTTTCATCATGGATGACTGAAGGCCGATGTCATTCTGCATCATCCTGTGCAGCCGCCTTCACATTGTTGATGTTTACATCTCCCCCTGGTTTGGATCATACACTAGTCCATGGCACAGAATGACCTCCGCCTTACGTTCTTCATGATGGAAGGCCGATGTCATTCTGCATCATCCTGTGCAGCCGCCTTTACATTGTTGATGTTTACATCTCCCCCCCGGTTTGGATCATACACTAGTCCATGGCACAGAATGACCTCCGCCTTACATTCTTCATGATGGAAGGCCGATGTCATTCTGCATCATCCTGTGCAGCCGCCTTTACATTGTTGATGTTTACATCTCCCCCCCGGTTTGGATCATACACTAGTCCATGGCACAGAATGACCTCCGCCTTACGTTCTTCATGATGGAAGGCGGAGGTCATTCTGCATCATCCTGTGCAGCCGCCTTCACATTGTTGATGTTTACATCTCCCCCCGGTTTGGATCATACACTAGTCCATGGCACAGAATGACCTCCGCCTTGCGTTCTTCATGACTTAAGGCCGAGGTCATGTACCTGTGGCGCCGCTGCTAACTAGAGAATAATTTCTTCAAGGCCAGGGGGCTGCATGCATGTACACATCTCAGCTCGTACGCATGTAACCGCTTGTATACGTCTCTATGAGTTGAGATGCACAACGAGCCAGTTCTTATACAGGATCCTGCTGGCTCGCAGGCTGAAAGGAAAAACATCTGCAAATGTTAAAGGAAAATTATGGGGTGAGTGAAATACATTCATCCCCATAATCGGAGCATGTGACACTGAAGCTGTCACACGTCAGCTCTATATATCGGGAACTGAGCGATCACATACTGCTGATTGCTCAGTTCATGATCATCTCCCTGCAGAGTGTGGTGACTGTCCCTGCAGGGATTCTCCCGTCTCTCTGTTCCTCCAACACTGACTGGAGGGAGAGACAGGGGAGGGGTGGGCACAGCTGGCTCTGCCTGAAATGGGCAGAGCCAGCTGTCAAAAAGGTGGCAGGGTGCATCCCATCAATATTGTCAGGATCCATCCTGGCTGCAGCGCATCCCTGCACTGTCAGCATATAGCGGGAAATAGCCTGCTATATGCTAATATGGGTCATAGGAGGACATTGGTATATGTCCTCCCGTGACCCTGAAAAGAACTATGGCAAAAAAAAGGTTGGACCATAGTTCTCTTTTAAGCTGGCCATACATATTAAGAAGAAATTCTTTTAAAGGCGGCTCCCATATTCATTTTATGACAGTTGCAGAGCAGGGACCATGTTGGCACAATACATACTATAATAAGGGAGCTTCCATTTGGAAATCTAAGACCTTTTTTATGCATTTTCTTTATTTTTTAACAAATTGAAAATAATAATTTCATCAATACATGTATATATTTTCTATAACTACTTTTTTGAAGTAAAAAAATATATTGTGTCTTAAATGTGAAAGAGTTAAGTATTCCCGTTAATCCCCTGACTATGTCTCTTGAAACAGGTTTACCTTTTTCTTTGTGTTATTTCATCACTCCAGCATGGGGGGCATATGTAGTTCTCGGTACCCACATACTGGTACACACGGTCCTTCGGACATTTGCATAAACCTAAAACCAGTGTGTGTGTGTGTATATATGTGTGTGTGTGTGTGTGTGTGTGTGTGTGTGTGTGTGTATATTTGTACTTGGGGATCTTTGTACTTCACCAAAAATGTAATCAGTATAAACCAACACTATTTTGAGCTAGAGCATTGAGCAGTGTGTAAAGCCGACCATACACTGCTTGATAGTCCTGCTCAATCAGTCAAACTTTTAACAGTGTCGGCACCCCTCCGTTTCACAAAAGTCGATTTTGGCTTGAAGGAGCTGGACTAAAAATTGTCGCTGAACAGTGCTTGCAGCCAATTGTGTGCAATCGCTGTTTGTGTATTCTGCCAGCAGTGAGCCCCCAGCTATCAGAATAGCCCGGGGGGGTTGTTCATTAATTTTTTTTTTTCTCATTTAACACGTGGAGCTGACAGAGAAAGAAGGTTGAGTGTATGGTCAGCTTAAAGTGACACTAAACTCCTGGAGTCAGACCTTAAAAATACAATACATTCAAGTGCCCTAACTTTTAACAATAATGTATCTTCTTTGTGTATCACTCGGCTGTAGATCCTCAAATCATCTGTGAATTGGTGCTGACACTGTCCTTCCTTCCGGAGGGGGGCTACTTTTGTGCCCCATGGTCCCTGTGTGTATTGTAAAGTAGCAACTACTCCCATGTAGGACTACAATCTCATGTTTACTAACTTGTATAGAGATTGTAGTCCATCTTGGGAGTGAGCTTGGAGCGGTGACTACTTTACAACACACACAGGGACCATGGGGAACAAAAGTAGCCCCCCTCCAGAAGGAAGGACAGTGTCAGCACCAATTCAGAGATGATTTGAGGATCTACAGCCGAGTGATACACAAATAAGATACCTTGTTGTTAATAGTTAAGGTACTTGAATGTATTTTTAAGATTTACCTCCTGAGTTTGGTGTCACTTTAATACCTGTACATTGTAATTACAAATGTCCACAGGAAGAATTGTTCTTTATTCCCATAGTCACAAATCAGATTCTCCTTTTCATATTTGTAGTGCAGGATGGGAGAATGAATAGGAGAATCTATTGTTCTGCAGACATGTCTTATCATGAGGCTCCCATGCTTGTATGTATCAGAGCTTCACCCCAGCCTTGGCCATAAATAGAGGAGCTGGCTATGCATTGGAGTCAGGAGTTATTTTTGGCTCCCAGCTGCTGTCCTGTGTGGCTCTGAGTGGGGTTGGCAGACAGCCTAGCCCACCCTCCTGAACTCTTTTCGTATTGATCATTCTGCATATCTTTTGTGCTCACTGCTGCCTTGTGTCCTCCATCTCTCTCTATGGAACAATTTTTTGTATATGTCTGGATACAAGATGCTCGTTGAAACTTAATATTTCATGTCTGCTTTTCAGATATTCTCAGAGTGGTCACATCATGGCTTCCGTTACTATGGGTAAGACACATTTATCAGTATTTCTGATCTTGTTTTATCAAGTTGCTGCTACAATTTCCAGGAAATCCTGGGGGGAAAATTGAAGTGTACCTGTTGTTAAGTTCAGTTAAACATTGGACTCCCAAGTTCCTTCGGTTGAAGCAAAACGTGCATTGAAGTTCAATGATAACGCATGTTAAAGATGCCCGCAACTTGCATTCAGCACACGGATGTGACTAGAACCTAAATGTTCACTTTGAGTTGGTTTCTCTCTTTTCAGCCACGTCAGAGTGGATCGGCTTCTTCAAGGAGGCCGGCATCCCCGCAGGACCTGCTGTCAACTATGCAGTGACATTTGTGGACAACAGGTGAGAAGTTAACACTATGCTGCCATGTGGATAAACAAAGCAAAGGCGACAATGAGGCAGCTGTTCCATACGCATTGTCTAGTTCACAAAGACAGCAGAGTGCGCTGGTATAGTGCTGGGACGTTAAAAAAAAATTTAAGTTACAAAATGGACTCCCAAATGTAACTCCTCTGTTGATTGCCTGCAGCCAAATCAGACTCTTCTGGTGGATGTGGCCACCGGCATCAGGGGTGAGCTGAATAAGCAGCTGCAGTAATAGTGTCTGGGAGGCTTTAAAACCACCAAGCTTTTACATTTGTGAGTGCCTCTTGTATCTTTTATTTTAAGACTAAAGAAGGTCACTACACTTAGCCAGCGCACTCTGCTGTCTTTAATTGATTGTAATAGAAGAACGCTCCACTCCTTTTCATAGTGCTGCACGGCTTACCTGGTTTGACCTGTTCTTTGGATGGAATTTGTTTAGATACGGTTCGATTTTATACGGGCTAAACTACCAGACTGTTTCTCTCACTTCCCGATCAATAGAGCTGACCTGTGACAGTCTCATTGTCACAGGTCGGCTCTAACTATGAGGATGAGTGAAAATCACCCACCTCATAGTTCTCCTTTTAAGGTACTTGAATGTATTTTTTTAAATTTAACTCCTGTGTTTAGTGTCACTTTAACAAACTTTTGTTTGATGCATTGTTTCTAGAGCTGTCATTACAGCTAGGGGCACAGTACAGATAGTCATACAGTCTTTTTTTTTTGGGGGGGGGG